CAATTCCATTTGAATGCAGTACCCTCGACTTATCCACGAGTCATAGCATATTTCACAATTGTTGGTCCAAAAACTGCACTCGATTTTTAGACGAGATCGACTTATAGACGAGTATATACGTTCAGTACATACCGAACAGAAGGGGAACAATTCCATTTGCATGCAGTACAGTAACTGAACAGAAGGGGAACAATTCCATTTGCATGCAGTACAGTAACTGAACAGAAGGGGAACAAATCCATTTGAATGCAGTACCCTTGACTTATCCACGAGTCATAGCATATTTCACAATTGTTGGTCAAAAAACTGCACTCGATTTATAGACGAGATCGACTTATAGACGAGTATATACGTTAAGCCTTGTTCTAATTCAATCAGTAGTGCCTTGACAGGTGAAAACCCTATGCTTTAAAGGACAACTGTCATCTAATTTTCACTTCTCATTTTTTAAAACTTTATTTAACATAATGAAAATGTATGATATTTTTTTAATGATGTATTTTGATTTTTGAGAAAAAAAAAATCAATTTATCTTTTATGTTGGGTCGGAATCTACTGTTATCTGACCAGCTGCCACGCAGTCTAAATTGCTGAAAGTTTTACATAGAAATATAGAATGTGACACCAGATAAGAATTATTCAGCCCATCTAGTCTGTCCAACTTTTGTTGGGCAACAAACAAGAAGTGGGAATTTAATGACAGTTGTACTTTAAAATATAATTCCTAATTTCTGTAACAATTTGACATGTGAAAGCAAGATATTTGGTTAAGTTTGATATTACTGTTACTTTCAGTTACATGTTGTAACATATATTTGACCTCTTTCTAATTTTCCACTCCTTTTTATTTTTCTTTGTAACATGCTATACAGCTGGTAGATAAAATAAGAATTTGTTGGTGCTTTAAATGTTATACTGAAAATATCCACATTTTAATATTTTCATAGCAGGTAGGTGGAATATTATCATTATAAATATATTTTAAATGCTAAATTGTATTAAAATATTACTAATATCTTTCAATATAGACCTTTGCTAAAGTTGTATTGATTAACATGTTAACATGTTTTTTTTTTTCCAGGTGTAATTAATTACAGAATTACTTTCTTTTCCCTACATACAAATACCTACCATTTACAATTAGGGCATTATAATGTTAATTTTGATTTCTAAAGACCTAAGTAGCATTTTGAGACACCATCAACATGCACTGAATTAGTGTTGAAGCCTAAATCAATACTTAAACTTACATAATGTATTACAATGCAAAATAAATACAGAAAAAAATCTGAAGAATGTAAATTATTTTTAAATATTTTAATCATGCAAAAATGAAACAAAAATTGGACACATCTATGTAGTGTAGTTTCTACTAATAGCAATACCGAATAGTTCTTCTAGCTATTAGATTTATTGTAGATTTATTGTATTTTTCATGTTTAGAATTTAAGAAACCCAAATCAAATTAAATTAAGCATGTTGTGATATGAGTCAATGTCATCTGATATGCACTATATGAGTAATAATCTGCTTTGACTTGCCTTGGCTTAGTGGGGCCACACTCCCCGACTGCACCTGCCCCATCATCTCTGTCCCTTTTCCATTATTGATGTGCAGGGAAAGCAGCCATATAAACAGTGTGATACTCATATTCTCATCCCAGCAGGCCACCAAGAAAGAGCATCATAATTAAAGGAACACTCTAAAGTTAAAGGGATCATATAGTGACAGGAAAACAAACCTGTTTTCCTGGCAATATAGGCTCATGGAGTGCCCCCCTCCCTCTGCACTGAAGGAGTTAAAACCCCTTTAGTCCCTCGGCGCTGGGTCAGGCTCCGCCCATGCTCCTCCCCCACTGACGTCAGCTGGTGGGGGAGAACTAATGCGCATGCGCAGCAAGGGCTGCGCGCAGTGGTGTATCCTGGTTTTGTGCTGCCCTAGGCAGGACAAAACTCAGGCGCCCCCCAACCCCCCCCCGCGCGCGACCCCCACCCATCCCTTCCCCCCTGCGCGCGCGACCCCCACCCATCCCTTCCCCGGCCTTCTAAATACACACACACTCACTGACAGATACGCGTACACTAGCTAACAGAAACACAAACTCACTGACACACACAGTCAAACACACACACTCAGTAGCAGAGACACACTCACAGACACACACTCACACACTAACAGACAGACAGACACACACTAACAGACAGACACACACACACTAACAGACACACACACTAACACTCACACACACTCACTAACAGACACACACACTCACTAACACTCACACACTCACTAACAGACACACACTCACTAACAGACACACACTCACTAATAGACACACACACACTCACTAATAGACACACACACTAACAGACACACACACACACACACACTCACTAACACTCACACACACTCTAACACACACTCAACACACACTAAACAGACACACACACTCACTAATAACACACACACACTCACTAACAGACACACACTCACTCACTCACTCACTAACAGACACACTCACTAACAGACACACACTCACTCACTCACTAACAGACACACTCACAATAGACACACACACACTCACTAATAGACACACACAGTAACAGACACACACACACTCACTAACACACACACTCACTAACACTCACACACACTCACTAACACACACACACCCACACACACTCACAGACACACACTAATAGACACACACACACTCACTAACAGACACACACACTCACTAACAGACACACACACACTCACTAACAGACACACACACACTCACTAACAGACAGACACACTAACACACTCACTAATAGACACACTCACACTCACACACACTCTAACACACACTCACTAACAGACACACACACTCACTAACAGACACACACACACTCACTAATAGACACACACACACACACACACACACTCACTAATAGACACACACACACACACACACTCACTAATAGACACACTCACACACACATTAACACATGTACTTTTTAAACCCCCCTCCCCCTCCAGCCTCCTTACCTTTGGGAGTGCTGGGGAGGGAAGGGGTTCTCTATCTCCCTGGTGGTCCAGTGGCTGCTGGGTGGGCGGCATTGGCGGGCGGGCGGCTGACGAGGGAGCTCTTCCTGTGAGCTGACTGCTCAGCTCCCTTGTGCGCCGCAGAGTGAGGCTGGGAGCCGGAATATGACGTCATATTCCGGCTCCCAGCCTCACTTTGCGGCGCGCGAGGGAGCTGAGCAGACAGCTCACAGGAAGAGCTCCCTCGCCCGCCGCCCGCCCGCCAATGCCGCCCAGCGCCCAGCATGTCTGTTAGCCACGAGGCTAACAAGACATTTGCCTTGGGCATTTGGGGGGTGGCTTTTTTTGCCGCCCCCTGAAAAATGCCGCCCAAGGCAAATGCCTTGTTTGCCTCGCGGCTAAAACGCCCCTGGCTGCGCGCGCATTAGACCTCCCCATGGGAAAGCGTTATGCAATGCTTTCCCATGGGGAAAATCTGACGCTGGTCTGTGAGGACATTCAGCGTCAGATAAGTGCAATTTCCTCCATTTAAATTGCGGAAGCAGCCTCTAGTAGCTGACAGGGAGACTGGGTCTGGGTGCCTATAGTGGTCCTTTAAAAATAAATATATACATTTTTATGTTATGATGATCCTTGCTCTCTTTAGATTCTGGGACTCCCTTTTTTCATTACAAAAAAAAAAAAGCCATTAAACATACCTGTAATCCAGCTCCAAGAAGGCAACCACTGAACTTTCTGTGAAATTGTCTGGATTTATGATCTATGTCCAATCGATCACTTCAAAAAGATCCGTTAATTCCGTGCTTCTCATAGAGAAATATTGAATCCAATGCTTCAAATGCAAAGCATTATCAGTGTCATCATGCTCGCTTCATGACTCCAAAGGTGAAATCTTACAAAAATCAAAAAATTTTAAGGAACTGTGTGGGCACCATAACAACTTAATCTACATTACGTTGTTATGGCGCCCAGAGATCTCTGGCGTTTTTATACCCGAAGTGGTTAAACTATCCTAAAAGGCTGCTCTCCAGCGCTAAATCTTCCTGCCCCAGGAGCATCTGGTTTCTCTGGACAGGGGTGCCGCTGACTGAGTTAGAATGGGTGACTGAAGCTGTAAGCCAATCAGCAGCTGCCCATTCAGGGGACAAGGAAATCCGATGCAGGAGAGCAAGCTTTGGGGTTAAAACGTTTGTTAACAGTTTAACAGCTTCGGATAAGAAAGTGCCAGGACCTCCAGGCACTATAGCAACTTAATTTTTATGAAATGTTCCTTTAAGATTTTAATTCTTTCAGTCATTTTATCTTTTGGATATTTTTAACATTAGATTTGTAGCTGCAGTATTTATATGTTGTGTCGATTGAGTTTCTCTACATAGTATTTAACAACAAGCACCTAACCTGCTTACTTATATTACTCAGTTTGTATCTTTATAAATAATTGCAACACTTTTTTTTTTCATTGTGCGTGTGTTGGAGGGGTAGTCAAGATAGTAGGGAAGATGTTGCCCAAAAAAACAAAACAAAAACAAAAAAACACCATAGAACCATAATATTCAGGCTGTTATATATTACATAGAGTATATTTAAATGTTAAAAGTGCAATGTTTAGCCAAAACAAACTGGCAGCTGTATGGGTCACAAATGACCTTTCATCAATATCATTTGTTCATTCACCTTTGCTTACAACTTTTCTCTTTGAAATATATAAAAAAAACTTGAAATTAAAAAAAAAGGCTGATTTTATGCAATACTGATTACATTAAATATCCACTGGTGCCTCATGACATATTTGAATTTTGTGAAATTTACTTCAATATTTGCTAAATACTTTCTGGTAAAGCCTTTTGTTTTTCTAATATAGCTTTGGGGTGTGCACCATCTGATGATTTTGGTATGATGATAGAGCATTGCAACATTCTGCTTCAGGGTAGAGACAATTGTCACACCTCTTCACCTTGTACTAACACACAATAGCAGAGTATATAAGGTTAAGCTCATAGCAGTCACTACAGACAAGAGCAACTGGTCACAATGAGTGGAAAGGCTAGCAGATCTGTGGGAATCATTGGAGCTCCCTTCTCTAAGGGACAGGTAATCACTTTTTTGCTTTTAATGGACAGAATTCTGATTATTTAGACAGCTTTTGACTAATGATTTTTAATGTATTTATCATACATGTACCTGTATATACTTTAAAGGTAAAAATTTTTGCATATTAAAATCAGATGAAAGATATTTTAAAATACATGTTTTTATTTTTATTTTTCCCAACACAGCTAGTACCAGTCTGGCTTTTTTAATCTCAGTTTTGCCATTCTGATGGCTTTTTATTACAAATTTTAGTTTAGTAAATAAACCATCTCATCAGTGAAGACTGTGAAGGAATTTGAGTAAATTCTCCATCTAATAACTACTGTTACTGTGCTAGTTCTTGGCAAACTCATCAGAAAAATTTAAGTTCTAATTAGAATATTTGACAACAGATCTATTTCTTAAATCAAAACAAATTTGCAGAACTTAAAGTTATTACTTGATTTTAAAGAGCATACTGCAATTATTACATTTTTTTTAAAAAAGCACTAATTGCTGAAGAATATCCCATTGATTTATATTGCCAGTTTTTATTTATGAAGTTTTACATTTAAGGTTTTTACAGTTTGGATCTGTAAGAAAAATAATCATAAGTTAAATCATATGTTAAATGCTTTTAAATTGATTTTATATTAATCATATCAGGGGCCATTTATTTACCAATCATTCATTTTTCCCAATGTTTATTGTTTCATAAAAAACTTTTTAGGTGTCAGAAAATCATTCCTTTTAATATTTATAATTTTTCTAAATAGAAAAAATTCTTGTGCTGTTTTGGACGGGGTAATGGGATTATACATTTAATTGGGAATTGTGGATATTTGATAAGGCAATTGCGTGTTTTGGGACAAAAGAGCTAAGCTAGAAAACATCCCCAATCGCTGCAAGCTTTACAGTTTAGCATTTGTTTTTGTTTTTTTGTTTTTTTTAAATAGTAATTCCCTTTTCAATTCTCTACAATTTATGGTTTAGTGTATATATAATGTGAAGCAAGAAACACAGGTTTTGAGAGCTCTACCCAAAAGGCTTTAATCTAGAGAGAAACCTCATAAATGCTGGGTGTGTGCCAGACTAAGAGAGAAGTGTGATGGCTTCATGGGGGATATGAGAGGGTTAGGAGTTTAGGGATTAGTTGCGTAATATATAAGACTTCTTAAAGATAGGATTTTCCAGGGAGCTTTTGAAGGTAGGGAAGGTGGGGAATATAACATGGCCTTGAGTTCCAGAAAGATATGGCAGCTACAGAACAGTCTTGGAAGTTGGACATACAAAAACCAGGTGTTACCTCAAGGTGCAAAAACTGACTCTGGCTCCACAACCAATAACATCTGGAATCCCCCCAAAAAAACAAGGGTCCAGGACATCAGTAGGTGAAAAAGCCCTCCAAATTTATTGAGGTTACCCATTGAACTCAGTTTAAAGTATGGTATAGAGAGAATTTTTAAACTGAATTCGCTTACTGTGGGAACCTCAATAAATATAGTGGACTTTTTCACCTTTCGATGCGTGCGCGACATGTTCTTTTTGTATTCTATATTGGAAGTTGGACAAGAATGATTTGATAAGAGATGTGTACAATTTTAGACAATGAAAAATGTGAGAAGGTTGCAGTAGCAAGGAGAAATGCTAACAGTAAAAAAAGGCATGGAATGGTAACGGTCACTTGCAAGGTTTTTTACTATTATGTTTACTTATCTCTTATATTAGCAAATAATTGTTTCTATTGTGTGAGAGATAAAAATGAATGTAGAAATCCATACCTGTGCAACTCGGTACCCTGAGTACCATCTTAGCTCCCTGTCAGCCATTTTTAAAAGCTCTGTCATTTGCACCTGGCAGTCAGCATAGAGAAAGCGCACAGAGAAGAGACATTTTTTTACGCTCTTCATTTGCAGTGTTTACGCTGGCTTTGCCTTGTTTGAACTGGGTCATGATGTAATTTGATAAATCTTTCATATAAATTCAAAAGAAAATTGCTCATTTTATGAAAAAAAAAAGGTTAAGACCAGTTATAGGTGATTTTCAATGTTTTATTCAATATAATAAATTCCACAGAAGTTACAGTTCCTCTTGCTGTTTTGGAGGACTTGTAAGTGAAGGTCAGCTGTTTACTGTATTCTGTGAAGTTCTCAGAGGACAAATGTTTACTTTTTTTTTTTAATTAAGTATAATATTTAAAGTACGAAGGATAGTTCCCTATACCTGACTGTATTTTTTTATTATTCCCAAGTATCATTAACTGGTCCCTCAGACAGAATATTTATATATTTATGCCTAGATGTATATAAACATATTTTGTAGAAAGTATTAAAAAAATTCTTCCTAAGAACGTCCCAAATTTCACCAGTTTTGTGAGTGTTTTCTGCCCTCTTTTATATACATCTCTGGCATCCAATAGGTTAACCGCTCCATTCTCATCTATGGATAAAATGCATTCTTCTCACCCTGAGAATTTGTTCAAAGTTTCAGAACCCCAGGTGAACTTTTAACAGTTCCTTTGGGTATTTACCCACATGAATTTACACATGCAAGGTTGTTAACATATTCTAAATAAATTGCTAAAGAAATCACAATAAGAAAAGAAAAAAACAAAAAACAACAAACTAGTTTTTCCTGATATACTTGTTGCAAGATGGCGTCTGAAAGTAAGCCCAATTAACATTAAAAGCATGCTACATTGTTATGGTAATAGTCATTAGGAATAGCAACAAAAACATGCAAATATCCAATGGTTATCTTCAGAATAAGGTCATTATTAAACGTGGGAATGGTGGGAAACCTTTGTTAGGCAGAATCACTTTAAATAAAAAAATAAAAAATTGGGATGTCTGATAGTCTTCCATGTGGCTGTTCATCTGTGCAAATGATTCAGAAAATGATTCAAATTAGGAAAAAAATAGGTACTGTAAAATATATGTGTACTGTAAAATATAGGCATATACTATAACATATATTATATATATAAATATTAATATAAATGTGTTCATGCCATTTAGTTCACAGATCAAGTGAGATAAAGTAACCGAAGGGAAAAAGAGGAGGTTAAGTAAAAAAAAAAAAAATCTATATATATATATTATATATTTATTAAATATACAATATAAAAATATAGATTTTTTTTTAATGCTCCCTTTTTTCCTTCAATTGGTCACCCCAGTTGTGATGGCTGTCCCTTAATCATCAATAACCTCTATATTTGATGTCATGGGCATAACTTCAAATCATATAAACATAATCGTCCATTGCACAAATTATTATTTTTGTTATACGTTTTTATGGCACTTTGCAGTTACGGAATTTGGGAGAGCAGTTGATCAGCCTAAATTCAGACAAATTGCAATTCGACCGAAAACTAAATTAAAGTCTAGTCTAGTCATTATATTGAAGTAAAGTTGGTAAATTGGTTATACTGGTTATACTGATTATAACTCTTCATAGTCTCCCAGCTTTTTATATTAAATAATCCATAAATCAGTTGTTGTTTTTTTTTAAATTTATTTATACATTTATCACTTTAAAGATCAACTATATTATTCCAATATAATCTGGCTTTTAAAGGATATGTCAGCATGAATTGCCATACTTATTCAGATATGGGAGCTCTATACAGACCTGCTGTTACTAAATAAGCATTCCATTTTAAACTAGTGTACTTAAAATCAGATTATCATGACATAGATACCACAACGTTGTAATTTGGAGACAGCAAAAATACTAAAGTGTTAAAAGAACATTGCAAGCACCGTAACCTGACATTATACTGTAGTGGATATGGTGTTTGGAGTGTTCTGGCGCCATAGAGCAATCCTGATTCTCCTTCTTGAACAGATGGGATAGGGATGTGGCTGTGGGCAACAAGTGGGACTTAAGTACATTGTTAAATACTAAATTATCATAGTAAACGTAGATTGTCATAGTAAAGCTATTTGACCTCTTACAATCTGAAGGTACTAAAGTTCTTAAAATAAGAGCCCACATACGGCTCCAGTCCAGGTCGGCCCCAATAGCAATTCTGCAAGTTTAGATACTATAATGCTTAGCTGGCATTTCTTGCTAGCAGCCCAAGAAAATACACAAACAATGTTCAATGCTGTTCCTCAATCTCTTCACCAAGAATTAAAGGTTATGTTTTATAATCTCTCTCTTATTTCACAAGATCAAGGCACTAACTATATTTTATATTTCTGTATTTATTTGTGTAAATTAACCCATTGTTCTCATTCAGTTCAAGTAATACGTATTGTCTGTTTTTCCATTCTTGTAGCCAAGGGGTGGTGTGGAAGAAGGACCAAAATACCTAAGAGCAGCTGGGTTAAACAAGAAATTGAAAGAGCTTGGTAAGATCCCCAAGTATAATACTAAATGATAATGTTAGGGCCCCTGGGATGTTTGTAATGGAAACTGCAAATAAATAGATAATGGAGAGATGGTGGGATAGATGGACAGGGGGATGGATGGATAAATATGTACTTAATAACAGTATTTACTTACAAGCATATTCTTATGAATATTTTTTTGTTATTCTTTATAAAGTGCGCGCTTATTGTACAGAGCTTTACAAGGACATATAAAACTTATAAGTAATTTCTATATTTATTTATTCATTAATTGTTCACTGTATTCGTTTTATATACCTCATATGGATATATATAATGTATAGACCAAATGTACGTTATATACATTAGCAGTTGCAAAACAAATTATTCACTTTGACTCATAATAATAAATAACGCTTTTAAACTGAACTAAAATGTAGATATATATGTAAAGCAGGTATGTTTAGTCACTGGTTACACAAGAGCTATATAGCAAGCAGCTACTTCCTTATGATTCTTGAAATGTTTGATACGTGCTTACTATTGCATAATGGAAGTTATGCAGAATACTTATTTCACACATAAATGTACACAATCCACGAAAAGCATAGATTAGCCCAGCAAAGTACAGTTAATGCGATATATTGTTTTTATATTCAGACCAATAGCCCTTGTGGACTGATGAAAAATTTTACAAATATCAACAATATCTCAGCTTGCAGCCAGTCCTCTAGTGACGATATGGCACGGGAGAAGCTATACTTCCACCTTGCGCCATGCCAATTCATGCCAGGGGTTGGGGCAATGAATGGCTGACTCAGTTGATCCTCTCAGCCTATCACTGCGCATTACCCTTGGTATGGCGTGTAGCGAAGCAAAGCTTCACCTTGATTATTCAATCATTGGATGATGTGCTGCAGGTTAATGTAGACCAAGCATCTCTGCAAAACGGTGAGCAGCAGTGACACTGTACCGGTGACCATTGACTCCAGGCACCATCACAATTTCAAACAGTTGAACCGGTTATTGTGCCTGCCTACAATGTTCTTTTATATGGACTTTAACCAACATAATCAGTATTTTTTATGTAGTAGTAGTTATAATACAGGGAGTGTTTGGGTGTCTTTGGGTACAGTCCCTCCAGGCGATAGGTGCCAGCAAAGCTGCTTTTTTCAAACTGCTCAAAACATGAGTGAAAAAGGAGAGACTGCACCAAAAGACTCCTTGCATCATAACTAGTACAATGAGCTTGACTGGCAAAATATGTGTATGATTTTGTCTTGTGTAGTGGAATTATCGTTTGATGTTAGGCTTACAATGTCTGTTCCATATCTAGTATTAAATGCTGTAGTCTACAAAATATATTATTTTATTATTTGCTGTTTACGGAACTGTTAAAACCAAGGTAGAGTAATAGCTTTAAGGGACAAAATTCTAAATTGCTGAACTGCCACCTGTGCCCTAGGACCATGATAGTGTTTGAAAACCATTTCTGCAATTCCTTCAGACCTTAAAATCTTGTCTTCAAATATAATAAATCAGTATGAAAAACGAAAAATCTGCCGAATTCTGTGGTAAAAAGCGACGAGAGCCTCGTTGTGGGATATCAGCTACTACTGCTGAACAGTTGGGGTAGTGGATAATCATACAATGATGCAATAGATCTTTGCCTGAGCAAAAGTGTTTCCTTTCCCTTGCTCTCTCATGGCAAACACAGCTGTACTGTACTGTACCGAGGCCAGCAACATGATGTCCTGTAATTATGGCCATTTGTAATCAAATATTGGTCTTTAGGGAACAGTGATGAGAACTTCATGCCTCTTGGTGTGTTGGTTTCCTGCATCGCAGTTGAGCTGTCATGTAAACAATGATACAGGAATTGTAGGTCTCATTAGTTACCTGAGACTCAGGACCCTGTCACAACCCCCCTTCTAATTCTGTAATGAGGTCAATTATGGTAATAAGTAATGATGTGTATCTGTAAAAAAAAGGCCTGAATGGCTATTAAGTAAGAATTGTCTTTTATTGCTAAATGTGCGTAGTCCGGTAGCTGAGTCACCAGCCCAAGAATAACTACTTTTCTGTGTAATCCCATGCTCAGACATAGGCTTATATAGGGGATGTGTAGATGTGCCTAGGCACACCTAAAGTATATTATATAAAAAAAACTAGTTTAGCTACACCTCAGCTTGTGTGACGAAAACCAATTACCAATATAATGAGTGGATTTGAAATGAATATTCTCATTTTATTTAAAAATAAATGAACACAAATTACCTCTGTGTGCACTACCAGGAAGTGGCCAACCCACATTACTCTAGTCTAGAAATGATGAAACTGTGACGTGTAAATGTTTTGGCTTGTCACATATTGTTACATGTTTTTAAATGCAAATGACATATAAATCATCCTCGTCTGTCACATCCTTTGAGGTTTGTACATATTTCTAAAAAGCTGCTCCATTCAGGGAAATCAACAACTTTAGATTACATAGCAAAATATATACATGTAGTCTGACTCACCCTGGGAAAATAACTGCAAATGAGCTAAGACAAGCATGAATCCATATTCTTATGCTTAATTTGTAAATATTGGAAAAAAAATTACAGATTTTTTCACAGTGACAGTGTTAGTGTAGGGTTTATGTTTGTTTAGTGATAGTGCAGTGAAGGAGTTAATGTGTATTTTAGTGTGTTAGGTTATTGTAAGCATCAAGGAGAAGCCTTTATTATTTGGGAAGCACTGAGTTGCAAATACCAGAGCTGCCTGAGATTATTGGGAATCAACTGCATGAAGTTGATAAATGCATTATTACACATTCATTACAATTAGTAATTAAACAAATAACTTCAGTATTATCTCTTCTTGTGTATTACAAAAGGCAAATTTAAGTTACAAAAACATGTTTTATGGAAAAACTTAAGAGAAGTATCAAGCGAAAAACTATTTTTGCTATATCTCAGAAGTTGGACCAGACAGTGAGCGCCAGGGAGACCCTGATAAGTGTCAAGTCATTTAAAAATGGTTTGATTTTTAACAATGGGACAATGTCAGGGGACATCTTGGTATCATCACCACTACATCTGCCTCTGGTGGTTATGGTGCCTAGAGTACCACTCTGAACTAATTTTAGAGATTTACATTGATTGTTATATTGTATTTGGAGAGAAATGTATAAAATTCCTCGCTTTGTCCCTTTGCAGATTTTATCTCTAATGTCTGCATGACTGGTTTCCATGCCACAGACAATGACAGTGTACTACCTGACTTTAAAAGCTGAACTTAGCCATCAAAGACTTTCGTAAATGACTAGGTTAATTTACTGAGCCACTGATGTCAGAGAAACTGATAATTAATGGGATACTGCAGGCAACATGTCACTTCTTTTGTATGTTAGAGTTGATGGGAAAAATAACTTCCCTGAGTTTAGTGAGCTTACTAAAATGTGTTCACACCCTAAAACAATAGTACTACCCTACCTCCAACCCTCATACCAACATTTCAAATAGACGAAGAGGGACACTTTAATTTTAGGGTTGTGAGTAGGGGGGTGTCCAGGTGCGGAGCTGTTCTGCAAAATATTAGGTTACTTACTATTAACAATTTAGGTAATTCTACATGTAATTTAGAACAAGAACAATGTATATTATTTACACTGACTGACTTCTAAACACATTTATTGTAGTTGAATACTGTGAGTATTATTGCTGTGGAGCTCTTTTATACACTCATAGACATCATAATATGGAGCTTCTAGAAAAGTGGGAAATCTGGATAGAAAAGTGGGACAGGGGTATTAGTGCTAAATAAATAGGGACACTTGGAAGGTATGAACCCTTGGTCTACACTCTACATGGTACATTAGATCAATTCCATTGAATTCATGTAAAAATACCCATTTAAAATATCTGAACTGGGCAATGTATGAGTATCCAAATGCTCTTCAACTTGAAGTTAGTTGCAGTGTGTATATGTTCTCATTAAATTCATGTAGCATCAGATTAGAATTTAAAATTTGCTAGGAGTGTCAGAGTCACTCCATGATTATGGACACAATTGTGTAAAAGTTTGAAACGTTCATTTGACAATATCTGTTTTACAAAAAACAAAAAAATACTAATCTATTTTAAATATACATTTATTTATTATTAAAATAATAATATGTGGAATGTTTTGGGTTTCTTTCCAGCCTATGATGTCAAAGATTATGGTGATCTGAATTTTGCGGACATACCTAATGACCAACCATTTGAAAATGTGAAAAACCCTCTCACAGTTGGGAATGCCACAGAAAAACTTGCCAATGCAGTTGCAGACATAAAGAAGAGCGGTAGGGTTTGTCTGACCCTTGGCGGAGATCACAGGTATGTCCAGATTTCTTATTATGTTTGGTGAAAATATTGTCAAATAGATTGTGACCCAGCAATATGCCGTTTGAATTAACTCTTCCACTACCAATTTGTTTTTATAATAATAGTTAAAACATGGGATAAATAACTAGAATATGATGTTAGGGTTCCTGTTCATTGACACCCTATACAATTTATGTTTTTCATGTATTCCTTTATCCTATACTGAGATGGTAAAAAATATTTAAAATGCCATGGAACCCCATGGCTTGTTTTCAGAAACGACACACACAAAAGAGCTGTCAGGAGGTAAAAGACAGGGTGGAGGCTGCCATCCTCATTATATAAGTATGTAGTGAGTGTATGTGTATGGGGGGCTGTAGTATTTGTAGGTGTGTGGGGGCTGTAGTATGTGTAGATGTATGGGGGCTGTAGCCTGTGTGTGCATAGGGGCTGTATTATGTGTGTAAGGCATGTAGTGTGTGTGTCTTGGGACTGTAGAGAGTGTACATATGGGGATGTAGTGTGTGTGTGGGGGGGGGAGGAGGGGGTGAAGGGTCTGTATTGTATGTGTGTAGGATATGTAGTGTATGTGTGTATATCTAGCAACTGTAGAGAGTGTGTAGGTATGGGGGATAAAGTGCGGGTATTTGGGAAATGTGTAGGTAGGTTATGCTCAGTATTGCAGGGCTGTGAGAGAGGGGATTTAAAGGTGTGGGAGCAATTATAATATAATTATAATATTACATTAATTACATTCTATGCCCCACCCCTTCCTTGTATACTTATGGCCAGGGAGGTTGGATATCCAGATCAATGTTGGTCCCGTGTTTCAATCTACACCTCAGTTGAGTGTACACTGTACAAAGTACTAGCGTGAGCTTTGGCACTCTGAAGACTAGAGTCTTCTGTCTCCCTCTGCCTGCAGCATTAGGCTAAATTGGTCTGGTGAGGGAGATCTTTGATCTGACTACCTCTCAACCTCCAGCCATCCTCGTGAGCTTCCAATAAACAGAAATGATGTCCAGCGTCCCTTGTAAATCAATATACTTTTATTTTCAATTCATGTACAGTAAGCTATTTATTTTATTGGTGAGTGATCTTCCATATGTCACTATTTGGAGATTTATTTGAAATGAAAATAAAAGAATATTGATTTATAAGGAATGCTGGATAGAATTTCTGTTTATTGTATTTACTATTGACTGGAGTACTAGCAAGCTTTGATTGAAGCTATTTAAGTTTATTGGTAAGTGTTCTTCCATATTTCACTATTTGGTACCCTTGTGAGCATGATGCTGGGTGCTTTGCAACCCTCACACCTGTTTGGACTTTTTTTATTTCCTGACGTAGAATACTTTTTATAACACTTCACGATTAAGAATGAAGACCAACTTCTCTGTGTTCTTATATTGATTAGAATTAGCATTTATTGTATATAGCAGGTTGTGTATATATACAGTACTATGCAAAACTTTTAGGCCACCACCAGCTTTATTGCATTAGCAAAGTTTTAATGACATTCAAATTAATTTTAAGTCTCTTTATTAAGATACAAACAGAAAAACAGGAAATATGTACAAAAAATATTTTAAAAAAACAAAAAAAATTTCAGAACAAAAAAGCCAGTCTTTAGTGTGAACACCCTTGGCACTAAACACATCTTAAACTCTTTTGGGGACACTGTCCTAATGTTTTTTGAAGTAATCTTTTGGTAAATTATACCAGGCTTCTTTCAACACTTTCCAGAAATCTTTTTTAGATTTAGGTTTTCTTTTTATTTATTTATTTGTACAGATGATCCCTCACTGTCTCTATAATATTCATGTCTGGACTCTGTGGAGGCCAGTCCTTGACTGACAAGTGTTTTGTCAGCTGTTTATACATGCAATTGTTTCAGATGAACCAGAAGGACATGAAAATGGGTAATCATCCAAAATTCTGATTAATAGCAATTTGTTTGAAGTTGAATGTAAAGGTCTACTAGTTACTAAATAATGCCAATAAGGTACTTATTTGCATGCAAATAAACTTTAATTTACTATTCTTGACCTGCCTATGTAAAATGTCCACCCAATCAATTGGCAAGGGATTACTAATTACCATGAAAAACTCTTTCCGTCACAATAACATTCCTTTAGCTGCAAACAATGGGGTTCTTTCATATGTACAGATACCTGCCATGTTTTCAATTGGCAAAGGACATTTTCATGTATGTGGACACATTCCAGTTTCACATTGCCTTCAAAGTCATGTATATTTTAAGGAGTTTGAGCATTCATATATGTCTGGCATTTGTCTGGTAGAAAACAAATGGAAATTAACATAACTGTGATCTAAAAATACATGATAAACCACTTTTGAAGGTACACTTGTAGGTTTGATAATTTAACGTATTAAAATATGAATTAGTTAAGGTACCCTTTCTATTTTGTGAGAGATGAGAAAGCAATCTTTATGTATTTCTTGTAAACTATTCCTTTGACAGTAATTTTGACAGAATAAATATATCAGAAAGTGACCTTGTAATCTACAGTACATGTTTAGTGCATGACAGGTCCATCTTTACCTATATTTAAATACAAAAGAAACAAAAGCAATACAAGAACTTTCACAGCTATTTATTGTTTTGATAATTCTAATACTGCCATAGTCATTGACAATTACAGTAAAGTACAGGGGTCCAGTATTCTAGGGCACGTGGGCTAAGCATGGCACTCGAGTAGCCTTGGCATGACACACAAGAATGCCAGTGTCAAACAGGTTGTGGATATCTCAGGATCGTCCCTGGAGCGGGTCTATCAAGGTTTCCAGTGGGACTTCTTCAGAAACCTGCTAGTGCCAACCGAGCATTCAGCACTAGTGATGCTGGTGGTGAGTGGCATTCCTCAACGTATTTAACACTTCCTCCCAGCACTTGTTAAGGGGAATCCACATTGATGGCATCAAACCATCACAGTCCCTGCCTTTGATCTTTACCTGGCCAGCCCACCAAGTAGCCTCTCACACGCAGTTCCCTAAAGCAGTTCCCTCACATACACAAAACACTGCACACACAATCCCAAAAGCAACCCCTCCATACACAGAACACATACATAACAGGATAGGCCGCCCACACATGTATCACACACACAATACTACACACTGCTAATGCACATACACCATATAATGCAGTCCACATATGCACAAATACAACCTTACAAACCAAATGCAGCACCCATACACAAGATTAGCAAAATATGTCAACATATACATATGTTCATTTAAAAAAATAGGACTGGCACAGCAAAGGACTTCTAAGTCTTGTTTTGGCATAGTGCTTCAAAAAGGTTGTCTTCCCCTGGTGTAGTGCAACAAATATAGTTGAGAATATACATTGTCATTTACAGTGTGATGCTTAAGGTGAAAAGAGACCCACAGAATAATTTAACATGTATATAATTTGTAACACTCTACAGACATGATAAACATGTAAAGGGTAACTGTCATGCCTATAACAACTTGGCATGGCACACAAGGCTGCCAGAGTCAAACAGGCTGTAGATATCTCAGTGGGTGGCAGTGATTGGCTGAGAGTGTCAGCTGATCGCTCTCAATGTATCACAGTCTCTCATTGCTGGGATGAATTGGTATAGCTAGAAGAGTGTGATATCTGCCTTAGCCATACCTCCGGTGGGGGCTGTAGGTAGACAGGGACTCTCACAGTGTTAAACTGATTGAAAATAGTTATTACTGAAAATATTAACATCTTTAAGTGCACCTTTAATGTCTTAATTCAGCATGATATGTGTGCATGCCAGAAGCAATTTGGTAGTGGCGGAATTTAAAGGGCCGCTGTAGGCACTGTATATGCTTCATCTCATTAAACTGGTTATATTGTCTGAAATCCCCTGATGCTAGATGAGTTCCCAGCAGCCCATCCCCTCTGTTCTGTTTTGACTAATGAGGAAGTATTAGCCTGAGCAGCAACAGTCAGCTGTGACTGATTGAGAGCGTCCACTGACTGATTTTAGCCTATCAGAGCTCCAACTGATGGTATGAGTGGGTATGACAACAAGTGTGTAATCTTTGCTTTAGCCACACCTCCAGAAAGGGCCAGACTGTGGGTGGCCAGGGACCCTTATTTACTGTTAAACTGCTCAAAATTGGTTTAATGGGGCTGAATGCCGGGTGACTCCAAGCACTATAACTAATTCAATGAGATGAAATGATTATACATGAAATGATTATTGACTACAGTGTCCCTTTAAATAAATACTCCTAGCACTGTAGTGGTTCTGGTATCAGGAGCACCCTGGCACCTCTCATTGTCTTCTTACCTGGGCTTTACAAGGCACCCCTCACAGCCTCCACTAACCATCACCAAAGAGACAGAAATTCCTCAGTAGCAGTTTCTGTCAACTTCCCTGAAGCACTGGAAACTAGTGGCTATGGTGTTTAAAGTGTTACTTTAAGTCAATTCATGCATTATATATTTTTTCCAATGATTTTCTCCCCTGAAATTAGATACTGGGACATGCTCCCTGTTTACCTCAATTATCTGTTTGTTGTGTCCCTACAGCTTGGCACTTGGAACAATTGCAGGTCATGCAAAGGTTCACCCTAATCTTTGTGTAGTTTGGGTGGATGCCCATACTGATATCAACACTCCATTCACATCACCCAGTGGCAACCTGCATGGGCAACCTGTGGCATTCCTTCTAAAAGAACTAAAAGAAAAGGTAAGCAAAATAAAAAAAATATTTGTGCATGGAGCCCACATAATGTGAAAGATCTATTTAACCCATTATTGTATTTTATGAATGATAAAATTGCTGCTCAATAAACGTCTCTGCATTGAAATCGAACTAAACTCATCATAGAGTAAAAATGCTAACAGAGGTAATATAGATAGAGGATGGATATATGCTGTTGTTACACTTCCCATAATTCTCTACCACCCGACAGAAACGGAAATATAAACAAACAGCTAGGTAGAAATGATTAAATATGGTTCTGAACCATTTTGTGAAATTTGATGCTTCTGGTATAATGAATAATAAAAAAATAAAAAACACATCCTGACACTTTAAGTAATGTGTGTCAGTTAGCTACAGAAATCATTAAGCAATTGTAATTCTAATACTTGGCCTTATAATCTGTATTCCTTCCTTTCAAGATGCCCAATGTTCCTGGATTCTCTTGGGTGAAACCATGCCTGTCAGCTAAAGACATAGTATACATTGGACTAAGAGATGTAGATCCTGGAGAACAGTAAGTCTGGTTTACGTTTTTGTTGTATATATTTTCTCTGACAGATCTCTCCATGTTTAAAATAAATTACATTCCTGTAAATGTTGATGTATTAAAGGAACACTATGACATTAGGAATACAAATATGTATTGCTAACCCTATAATGACCTGCTCACTGGTTAGGGTACCACACACTGCTGCCCCCATCTGTGTAAAGTAAAATGTAGTTTACGTACCATTTTTACCTTGCCCTCAAGCCCGTAGCTCCAGGGCTAGAGTTCACTCTTGCGAGATCTGAAGCGTTGCCGTGGTAACCAGGGCAACGCTACGTGCTCGCGAGAGTAGGACCCGGAGGAGCTGCAGACTGAGCTCCCAGGTCCTCTCTGCCTTCCCTGACGGCTGCCAGCACAGTGCCTGCAGACCGGGTAGGGAGATCTCTGATCTCCCTCTCTGATCTCCCTCCCCGGTCCGCAGGCACATTTTAGGGTTGGCGCTTGGACCCAGTCCTGCATTAGCTGGCAGGGGAGAATCTCAGAGGGGGGGGCAATTGCCCTGTTGCCCTCCCCCTGGATCCGCCACTGCTATAGTGTACCTATAATACACGATTTTAAAATGGCATTTTTAATTCAGAATCTTGTCACTGGTTGGATTTAATTTCTCCCAATACTCTACCAGCATAAAACTGGAAGGAATGTACACTCCTGATAAACAGGGTTAAGTGCCTATTTTTCAGATCTACTGACCACATACAACAGTTTAAATTATATGAAACTGTCAAGGAAGCTATTTTTATTGAATAGTTGCATTTGGAGTAAACAGAACATTGTTTTCTCTATAACACTGTATCCTAGAACCAAATGTATATTTTTGTTCATGCAATATTTGTTGAGTGTGATAATATTTATATAATTTCACTGTCTATGAAAGGCTATATGGCTATATATCAAAATTAAAACTCTGAAAGTGAATGCTATGCAAGCAATAACATTTTATTCCATATTTTTTTCTAGTTACATTCTCAAGCATTATGGTATAAAATACTATTCAATGACAGAAGTGGATAAACTTTCAATTAAGAAAGTGATGGAAGAGACATTGGAATATTTGGTGGGAAAGTAAGTAATTTTCAGAAACTTAGTCAAACAACATGAAAGAAAAGAGAAACAACTCAACTCCCCCCAAAATAATACAATTTAAACAGCCTAAATAGGATATATAAAGATAGAAGTGTGAACAGAATAATGAATTCACTATATATGAAGTTGTTCGCATGATCTGTCGATCGATTTACATGTTGACTGCCAGACCTATAGCATTTTCCCCACAATCACTCTATACTTAGAACCCAGATCTCTAGTGCGGAGGGATCTCATTAGGAACTCTGTTTCCTTACAATAGCCTTGGTTCAATATTATTGGCAAAACCCACTTGAAAATGATCAAATTCTAGCAGCCTAACCCAATCAATGTGTAGGCTCCTAGGCACAGAGGTTAGACTCCCTGGCTAGTGCGTCCTAGGTGACTGCCTAGTATGCCTAGTAGTAGTACCAGCCCTGCTCTGATAAATGTGCTTCAGGCTAACCCTGTTAAATAACTAACCCTATTGTAAAATGTAATAAATAAAATACCTATGTAGGCCAATAAAACTCCCACCTTAGCGCAAGGAAGTTTATACACCTCTTCAATACCCCCACTTGCAGTGCTGTGAGTGGAGGCATCCCTGATAAACAACATGCATCCAATGGCAGATTGCTGGAACAAAAATACTAGCAGCTGGGCAGCTATGTGTACAGGTCCCTGCTGTGCTCTCATCCATGGGCAATGTAAAGTGGGGTTCAAACTAAAGAATGGGGAGGACAGATCATTTTCCACCCCCTTTCCCCGTCTGTGCTCCCACCCAAGGCAGGGGCTCTATTAAATTTTAAAAATAGTGTCAGTGGGTGGGGGCTCTAATCAAAATACACAAAGGGGACCTAATGCCCTCTCAGCCACTACTCATTGGTAGCAGCTGGGGGCTCTAATATGTATTATAACCCAGGACGGACATTAAGTCACCACACATGGCTGCTGGGTGGGGCTCTAATATTATTATTATTAAACTAAGGAGAGACCTAATGCTTCACGATTAGTGCTCACCCTTAGTTGGTGTATAGAGGCTAACAACTAAATACAGGGTGTTCCCAAGGCCCTAGCCAATACAAGAAAACCAACCTACCTCCCCACTCCCCAACCCCCTCATCGTAACAATAGTGAGAGGAAGCTCAATAATTCTCATTTTTTAAAAAGCATACTTACCATTAGATGTTTTCCTACTTCTCAAAACTTATTTTCTACAAGCCTAAAACTTACATTTTTTTTTCCAATTAAAAAAAAATTAGGAAAACAAAAACCATGATGCAACAAAATGTCCCATTGTTTAAAAAAGCATTTATGAACTACATTCAGTAGTCAATATTTTCAAGGCCATTTATCAAGAATTTTGTTCTTGATAAATAGTATTTAATTAGAGAATCCGATCGATGGAAAGTATATTATCGATTTTTTATTATTATTGTAGAAAATCAGAAATTGATAATATTCAATCCGATATTTAGCAACTCCCAATAAGCCTTTTATCGGCTCAGATTGATTAATTGGCTGTCATTAAAGGCAGTTATTAAGTGTATCTAAACCAATAAAAGGCTTATCAGGAGCCAATGAATTGCTGATACAAGTCACCTGCTGATATGTAGTCGAGGCCTCTGCCTTAAAAGAGCACTATAGGGTCAGGAACACAAACATGTATTCCTGACCCTATAGGGTTAAAACCACCATCTAGCCACCCTGTCCCCCTCATGCCTCCCTAAAAATAGTAAAATCTTACTTGCATTCAAGCCTGAAGCTGTAACTCTGCATGCTGTTTGCCTCAGAAAAACAAGCTGTCTGCTGACATCATAAGAAGTGGTGGCCTGATCCAATCACAGTGCTTCCCCATAGGATTGGCTGAGACTGGCAAAGAGGCAGATTAGGGGCAGAGCCAGCATGGTTCAAACATAGCCCTGGCCAATCAGCATCTCCTCATATAGATGGATTGAATCAATGAATCTTTATGAGGAAAGTTCAGTGTCTGCATGCAGAGGGAGGAGATCCTGAATGTTTGGATGCAATTTAGGCAGCCATGACCCAGGAAGGATCTCTAACAGCTATCTGAGGAGTGGCCAGTGAAGTTATCACTAGGCTGTAATGTAAACACTGCATTTTCTCTGAAAAGACAGTGTTTACAGCAAAAAGCCTGAAGGTAATGATTCTACTCACCAGAACAATTTCAATAAGCTGTTCTGGTGACTATAGTGTCCCTTTAACCTTTTCTATGCTGATTTTAAATTCTGAGGGCTCTGCAGAGAATCCTGTGTTTCTAAATGCACACAACGCAAACATCCTATTGACTGAAATGATGCCAGGAGTTAACAAGGAGTTAGTTAATGAGCTAAATGTGATTAAAATGTCATGTCATGTTGAATGTGCATAATGCTGTATGAATGGATTATACAGTGGTAATTGACTATCCACAACATAGTGATTGGAGATAGGAGCTCTATCCTTTAAAAGAGAAACAATGTTTGAGGTTTAGTAGACAATTATTGCTCTGAATTATTGCACAATATTGCTCTGAAATGCACACAATGGTTATGTTTAGGTTTTTAGACAACAAATGGCATTTATATGTTCTGCTATGTGCATCGTACCTACAGGCATGGGGCTGGGAAATATAAAGAATGAAGATATACAAAGAAGAATAGTTTTAAAGTCATAGTGTACCTAGGGCTCCAGACAAGGATTGGCCCAGTCTGAACAACATGCTTCGTGAGGAGAGTTAAAGGTCCATTGTAAGGAGTTGCTAATACAATGTACTAGGACACACATTTAGCCACTTTAAAAACATATTTTAATGTGGGAGTGGATGGTTAACAGTGGCATGATGTCAGTTACTTAAATGATAGGAAGGGGTGGCAAACCTGAGGAGTTGAAATTTATATTTTAAGACTTGACCTCCTGTTAAAGGTACATGTAATTCATGAGTTATGCAATATCACAACATTGCCTGTTACAGTAACTGTAATAAATTAGGGTGAATAGGGTTTGCAGGGCAATCAATGGCATCAAGGAACATCTCATATATAATCCTTTCCAAAACAGACATCGTAGCATTTTAAATGCAATAAATTACTATAATTTGTCATAGTTATCCTACCATAATTCAGTCATCTCAACATGCTGCTATATGGGAAGCACTGCACATAAGCACACATTCGATGCAATATTCATTATCTAGATCAGGACTTAAAATATCAAGACCTATACTTCTAGTCAGGCCTTAAAGGTTATTCACCACTGCAAACCTGAGAGTTTGTGGGATACTGTTATCAATCAGTTCTACCATGTCATCAGTGGAGAAAATATCAAGATCATGATGCTTAAATTAAAATAGCTGTAAATATCTGGAATTATAATATTTTCTCTTTAATTATATTTGATAAAAGGGAGAAGAGACCCATCCATTTGAGTTTTGACATTGATGGCCTGGATCCAAGTATTGCACCAGCCACTGGGACACCTGTAGCTGGGGGTCTAACCTACAGAGAAGGCATGTATATCACAGAGGAGCTATTCCATACAGGTAGGTGATGATGTAATTCTAACCCTTTTCAAGGCTATTTCAAAACATATCGGCATCTCCTCCTCCTGTGTCCACGGTTTATGCCTTTTTTTTTATTTTTTATTACTGACTTAACAAGTTTAAAACAAAAAATGAAAACAAACACAGAATTCAATATTATATCTGATACCATATTTCAGCCTTCTAAAGACTTAAAGGGTTAAAACATTACTTCTAAAGAAACAAAATTTCTTTTATAACCTTTCAGTGTACTGTTTGTACCTGTTCTTTTTGTCTTATATGTAGAACATGGGATCATGGCCTTATTTTCATTTGGCTGAACATCTTGACAGTTAATTAATTTATTTATACCAGATTACTATTGTCCGTGACACCTAGGGAAAAAACCCTATTTTCATTTGGCTGAACATCTTGACAGTTAATTAATTTATTTATACCAGATTACTATTGTCCGTGACACCTAGGGAAAAAACCCTTATTATGAAAGGCTGTAAGCTCAGTGCATCCTAACTAACTTAAAAAGTTAGCAGATAGAAGAATAGCTGGGCGAGAGAGTGAGGTCACAATATTGTGTATAATCAACAATGCAAAACATTATTCTAAATGTGGTTATTTTTGCTACCGTCACTTTCACGGATACTTAAACAGGCATTTATGCAATACCTATTAGGGGAAGATTTTTCAAAGTGTTCCATTCTAAAAAGTGATGCAAAGTACTAAAGTGGGACAATCTCCGTGGAAACCAGTGGAACTAGCAGACATTCCATTGGTAACTCTTCCCCTTTTTAGAACTAATACCGACAAGTTCCCCAAAAATATAATTTTTTTTAACATTATTATTATACAGGTGATACTCAAAAAATTTGAATATCGTGCAAAAGTTCATTTATTTCAGTAATGCAACGTAAAAGGGGAAACTAATATATGAGATAGACGCATTACATGCAAAGCAAGATAGTTCAAGCCGTGATTTGTCATAAGTGTGATGATTATGGCTTACAGTGCATGAAAACCCCAAATCCACAATCTCAGTAAATTTGAATATTACATGCAATCAATAAAACAAGGAGTGTACATATAACAATATCGGACCTCTGAAAAGTATAAGCATGCATATGGACTCAGTACTTGGTTTGGGCCCCTTTTGCAGCAATTACTACCTCAATGAGGCTTGGCATGGAAGCTATCAGCCTGTGGCAATGCTGAGGTGTTATGGAAGGCCAGGATGCTTCAATAGCGGCCTTCAGCTCTTCTGCATTGTTCGGTCTCGTGTCTCTCATCTTTCTCTTGGCAATGCCCAATAGATTCTCTATGGGGTTCAGGTCAGGCAAGTTTGCTGGCCAATCAAGCACAGTAATCCCACGGTCATTGAACCAGGCTTTGGTGCTTTTGGCAGTGTGGACAGGTGCCAAGTCCTGCTGGAAAATGAAGTCAGCATCCTTCCCCAAATCAACACAGACTGTGGAAACTTCACACTGGACTTCAAGCATCTTGCAGTGTGTGCCTCTCCATTCTTCCTCCAGACTCTGGGTCCTTGGTTTCCAAATGAGATGCAAAAGTTGTTCTCTACAGGAAAGAGGATTTTGGACCACTGAGCAACAGACCAGGTCTGTTTTTCTTTAGCCCAGGTAAGACGCTTCTGATGTTGTTTGCTGTTCAAGAGCGGCTTGACAAGAGGAATACGACATCTGAAGCCCATGTCCAGGATCCGTCTGTGTGTGGTGGCTTTTGATGCACTGATTCCAGTATCAGTCCACTCCTTGTGAAAGTCACCAACACTTTTGAATGGCCTTTCCCTGACAATCCTCTCGAGGCTGCGGTCATCCCTGCTGCTTGTGCACCTTTTTCTTCCACACTTTTCCCTTCCGCATAACTTTCTATTAATGTGCTTTGATACAGCACTTTGGGAACATCCAACTTCCTTCACAATTACCTTTTGAGGCTTTCCCTCCTTATGGAGGGTGTCAATGATGGTTTTCTGCACAACTGTCAGGTCAGCAGTCTTCCCCATGATTGTGATTCCTACTGAACCAGACTGAGACCATTTAAAGGCCCAGGAACCCTTTGCAGGTGTTATGGCTTACTTAGCTGATTAGAGTGGGACACTATGAGCCTAGAATATTGCACCTTTTCTCAATGTTCTAATTTACTGAGATTGTGGATTTGGGGTTTTCATGAGCTGTAAGCCATAATCATGGCACTTATGACAAATCACTGTTTGAACTATCTTGCTTTGCATGTAATGCGTCTAGCTCATATATTAGTTTCCCCTTTTACGTTGCATTACTGAAATAAATTTACTTTTGCACGATATTCTAATTTTTCAAGTATCACCTGTATGTACCTTTAAATTGCAAGGGTAGTAGATACCTGGTGAATAATGATGGTGGTTATTATTTCACAGTAAAACAAAAAAATTCCTAGGCGAACATTGTTATTTTCCATGCTACGTGATCATGCAATAATCTATATTGCGAAACAGAGAGGAGAAATGTGATTCAAGGGCTTGTGACAGACACATGACAAAAACAGAGTTTAGAAAAAAAACAAAAGTGAGAATGTTCTTCTTGGGCTATGGCCAATACAGATAATCACTTTCCATTATCAATATTGGACAACATTTGTACTCTGGTCGAAATGCTTAGGCAAACATCCATGTAACTCAAAATTTTCAAGGTTGTAGAATAGTATTGATCTTTTAGTTTGTCACTGAAACACCAAGAACAGATTTACATTTCTTATATTACCAATTAAAGTAAAATATTAACATTTCTAATGAAAAAAAAAAGACTTAAACATACAATAATGGGAGCAGGATAACCCCAACATGGGAAACTATGGTTTTCAGCAGGAATATCAAGAGTTGCTAGTCTTCATAACTTATTCACCCAAATATGGGCCTATATCAACAATAGGCTAAAACAGAAAAATTCAAAGAGTTATGTTTCATTTTTTTTAAATATATATTTTACCAATGAGCAATAACATGTTCATACTAATGAATTAAAAAAAGGAATATTTGATAATTGGTCATATATAATTTTTTTATTTATGAACCTTAAACTTAAAAGAACACTCCAATCACCATAAACACTACAGTGCACTGTAGTCGATATGGTGCCAGGCTTACCTTGGTGCTCCCCAGAGCCAATAGTGAACCTGTTTGCTAATAATGGTTTCACAATTTATCTGCAGACTGGCAGGCACTGGTCACCTTCTCCATTGACATCTGGAAGCTCCTGCACGGTGCCTCCATTAGCTCTCGTGAGCTAAGCCCTACTAGGCAAACTTATTGTCTGAGAGTATCAACTGATTGCGCTGAGCCAGAGAGCTATGGCTAGCTCAAAGCAGAGAGCTCTCAGTAGAGGAGGTAAACGGCACCCAATGGACCCAAACTAACATAAAAAAAACATGTTGTGAGCTTAACGGGGAAGAGGCAGGACAATTTGTCCAAGAATGGGTTGTGTCTTGGCACACTAGACATACCCATTGCACATACCTATGTCTTTGCCAAAGTAAGACCATCCAGATTAATGTTTTGCAAGATGTTAAAAATTATCTGGCCACTCGCACAATATTGAGAAATGTTGTCCACAACAGAATACATGTATACCCCTTTGTGCTGCAGAATGTCCTCTCATAAGGTTAGGGGATTACTTAAAAAAAATCTAAAAGTTATAACTAATTTACTATTATCACTTCTTTATTTTAGGATTGCTTTCTGCTGTAGATATGATGGAAGTTAATCCATCGCGTGGAGAAACAGAGAAAGAAGCCCAGTGTACAGTTAACACCGCCATCAACATGATCTTGTCCACCTTTGGGAAATCGCGGGAAGGATTTCATGCACCAACATATATTTTTCCAGATCCCCCATGCACAAAAGCACCAAAAAATTAGTAGTCAAAACTAAATTAAATTTCCATTTTCTGTAAACATGACTATTGTGATAGCAATATTTGGACTTTTAAAGTCGTACATCAAAATGTTAACAGAATTAGATTCAGATATTTAATTTTCAGAAGTGGGTCTGACATTTTTAACCTGCTCTTGTCTTTTACATTCTGCTACTCATCAAATGATTCTGTTTCAAAGAAGAAAAAAATCAAATCTTTATCTATTTGAACATGTAGGAGGTGACATGAAAGATATTTGTTGCAAAAATCCTATATAATAAAAATATTTATACTTACAAATAAGAATGAATCAATGCAGAATATGAAAAAGGTGCATATATTCTCTATTCCCTACTCTCTGTTCACTAAACTTTGAGTTTAATCAAAGGGAAGATAGTGCAAGGAATAGAAGTTGTATTTCTAGCACTATAGCTCCCTCGCACCCCCCTCCCTTTGCACCACCGTCTGCACTATAAGGGTTAGTAAACCCTCACTATACTTACCCGATTGCAGTGCCGATCTCCCTCGGCGCAGTTCTGGTGCCCTCCCAACCCCCCTCTCCCTCCCCTGTCATCACCCGACAGGGGGCACTAATGCCCATGCGCAGATGTCTATAGTGTCCTTTAAAGGACCATGTGATTGAATATCTGAGCTGAGCTAATTCATCATTGCTAGGCTTCTGAATGGAGTATTTTTTTAGCCAATGAATACCCTAAAAATCACAGAAAGAATCATACGTATGTTTTGATTCATATAGTCATGGATTTGTTGACTATACCTTTACTGTAATAGCCCCTTAAATACAATGTAACAATGCTTCATCAGACAGCAGATTTTTAATCTTGTATATATTTGTAAATGTTAAAATTAACTCAACCTGTCACCTTTTCCTCTGCATATATCAAAGAAGGACTGAAAATAAATCAGTGTGTCTAACAAGTTGCCTACTCTATATCATATCAGTTTTTGAGATATATATTCTTAATAGTAAATAAACTGAATATTGATGGTATAATGGTGAACCATATCTAATATATGAGTTAAGTGTTTGTAAGAAAGTATTCTGGATCAATAAATATAATGTAAAAAAATGTTTTGCTTTTATTTGTATATTGTTATTTTATTATATTTTACAGCATGTTGGAGGATGCAATGAGCATTGCTTAAATGAATGTGGTGCAGTGACTATGGTGCCAGAAGTACTCTGGTACACCCACACACATAAATATGAAAAACATTTACTAACGGTTTGAAAATAGCAACTTCCTTTGGGTATGCCGGTTACAAGTGACCTCCTCCAGTGAAAGCCAAAAGCAGCGATGCAGGGCTTATCTTTTTGTCTTGAAACGATTGGTCAATGCCCTCAGCCAATGAACTGGCTCGGCATTGCACTTCTTAATGGAGGGTCTGACTGGTACACAGCAGACCCTCAGTGTGAGTACTCAAACAGTTTGCAAACAGTTGACTGCACTGCTATATCCTACACTGCCAGATTTAGCTCAAACACAGAGCATTCTGAAAGGGCTTGACTACTTAGACTGGATGGAGGGGGCTTGGCTAGTGCACACCCTTCACCATAACCAATACAGAGTGTTCCTTTAAATAGGTATGACTTAAACAGGTTACATATCAGATATTAAAAAAACTATTACCCTGACATCCTCGGGCCAATTGTGGTATGACACCTCTTATGTACTGTTCCATTAAAATGGAAATGTCTGGAGCAATAAGAATTTTACATTAGCCTAGACATGTGAAGTGTTATTTTTGTGAAGGGCTATCACAGTGGGCTAATTCTCCCACCCATGTAGCTGGCAATACCCTTGACCTAATCTTCACTTATGCATGTACAGTATCTAATATCTGCAACACTCCATTTCTTCTCTCTGATCACCACCTCTTATCATTTGCTCTCATGTACCCCTCACCCAACAACCTCAGCCTAACCCCCTTCAACTCAGGAGGGACCTTAATTCTCTTGATCTCCAGCAGTTGTCAGCTGATATTGATTCACAACTGCTGTCCATCCCTTCCCTCTCCTGTCCTTCACTGGCCATTTTCGCATATAACATTACCCTCACCTCGGCCTTGAACACTGCAGCACCGCTCCAAACAAGCACCTCGAGGAGGACCCGCCCCCAACCGTGGCATACTAAATAAACACGCTACCTGCAAAGATGCTCCTGTTGTGCTGAACGCTGCTGGAGGAAGTCAAGCACCCAGTCAGACTTTCTCCATTATAGATTCATATTGTGTTCATACAGCGCAGCCCTTGCCCTTGCCAAACAGTCCTACTTTTCCTCTCTCATTAGTTCATGCTCCCGCAATCCCAGGCGTCTCTTTGACACCTTTAATTCTCTTCTTCGCCCTGCTGTGGCCACCCCCCAAACTAACCTTACTGCTGATAACTTTGCATGTTACTTTACTGACAAGATTGAACAGCTAAGGAAAGAATTCTCCCCTCCTTGCCATTCTGTTTCTCAACCACACATAGATCATGCCTTTCCTACCCTTCAGACATTCTCCCCGGCTACTGACCAAGAAGTGGCTGCTCTTCTCTGTTCCTCTCGACCCACCACTTGCCCACTCGATCCTGTCCCATCTCACCTTATTAGATCTCTCTCCACTTGTCTCATGCCTTCCTTAACACACATCTTCAACTGCTCTCTCTCTTCTGGCATTGTCCCCGCTGACCTTAAACATGCCACTGTAGTACCTATACTAAAAAACCATCCCTCGACCCGTCCATCCCCTCTAACTATCGTCCCATATCCCTGCTCCCTTTTTCCTCAGTGGCCTTTGACCACATTGATCATGCTCTCCTTCTTCAAACTTTTCAATCGCTTGGTCTCTGTGACTCTGTCCTCTCGTGGTTTTCCTCTTATCTCTCCCAATGCTCATTCAGTGTCTCTTTTTCTACTGATACCTCCTACCCTCGTCCTGTCTCTGTTGGAGTCCCCCAAGGCTCTGTCCTTGGTCTCCTTCTATTTTCTCTTTATACTGCTTCTCTTGACAAACTTATTACCTCTTTTGGATTCCACTACCACCTGTACGCTGATGACACCCAGTTATATCTCTCCTCCCCGGACCTCTCCCCTGCCGTCCTTCCACGTGTCACTGCTTGCCTTTCTTCTATCTCTGACTGGATGTCCTCCCGCTTTCTGAAACTCAATCTCTCTAAAACTGAGCTCCTTGTCTTTCCTCCTCCTAATACTTATCCTCCTCTTTCGCTCTCCCTTCAAGTTTGTGGTACCCACATCAGTCCATCCTTGCAAGCGCTCTGTCTTGGCGTCATACATGATTCTGGCCTCACATCCAGCATGTTGCCAAATCCTGTAGATTCCATCTTAAAAACATAGCACCAGATACTACCAAGGAGCTTGTCCATGCTCTAGTAATTTCCTGCATGGATTATTGTAACCCTCTCTTGATTGGTCTTCCCAAAAGCCGTACTGCACCGCTACAGTCCATAATGAACGCTGCTGCCAGACTGATTTTCCTCTCTAGTCGTTTCTCTCGCACCTCACCCCTCTGCCAGTCCTTACATTGGCTTCCTGTATGCTATAGGAGTCAATTTAAGGTACTAATTCACATCTATAAAGCACTGAACAACTCTAGCCCCTCTTATATCTCCTCACAGATCCATGTCCTTTCTCGGTCTCTCCACTCTGCCCGTGACCACCTCCTGTCCGTTGTTTGCACCCGTACAGCCAACTCACGCTTGCAGGACTTCTCGCGGGCGGCTCCCTTCCTATGGAATAGCCTGCCTACCTCCATCAGACTCTCCCCTAGTCTTGCATCTTTTAAGAAGTGCCTTAAAACCCATCTCTTTAGGAAAGCTTATGGCCTCCCAGAGTAACCACTACCTCACATACCTGTCTCTTGCTCTCTCCTAAAGGGCAGCCCACCTTATTTGACTGCAAATTCCTGTCCTAATGTGTTTTACACCCCAACTCCTACAGAATGTAAGCTCGATTGAGCAGGGTCCTCTTCAACCTATTGTTCCCGTAAGTTTTTTGTAATTGTCCTATTTATAGTTAAATCCCCCTCTCATAATATTGTAAAGCGCATAATATTGGAATCTGTTGGCGCTATATAAATGGCAATAATAATAATCATTTTTTGTAATTACTCACCATGTAGTAACAATATACAATGGCCCATTTCAACCTTGTAATAAACCACTTTTATTTGACACATCATATTTTTAAATTTCTTTTGTATCAATTAATGGTCAACTTAGCCTTTCATCCTTATAAAGTTGATACATTACAGTACACTAGGTTTGGTAATATAACCACCAGAATAACAGCATATACTTTTAAAATTGGTGAAAGCTGAAAGTACCTTCCTTGTTAAAATATTTTTAATTTATATTATTATAAATGTTTTACTAGGAAGATTTTTCGTTTGACATGATGTGCAGCATTTGAATAATTGGGCTGTTTCTATCACAGTTTTAAACAAAACACCCAGAACTAATATTTACTTTAAAAAGAGTCTTGCGTGCCTGTACTTTGGAATACAAAAGGTACCACACTCCAGAACAGTGTCTACCAGGTACCTCGAGGCAAACCTCATAATCGATTAGTTCACTTGTCATGATTTGGGGAGAACCTCTTGTCTCTTGCACCAACTTTTAGTAATGATACATGACAAAATGCTATTTTATTTATTACTGCCCTTTATACAGTGCCAACATATTCCCAGGGCTGGCACGTCCAACAGGCGACTTAGGCATAAGATTTGAGTGACCAGGCAGGAGGGAAGCGCACAGCGCTCCCTTCATCCAGTCACTCAGAGTAGCGTGGCCGGGCGGCGCGAGCGGCAGACTGCAGTACAGGAGCATCTGTTTCCTGTACCCGGCCAGACCGACAGGAAGTGCTCCCTGAGAGAGCACTTCCTGTCAGTCTGGCCAGGTACAGGAAACAGAAGCTCCTGTACCGCTGTCTGCCACGGTCTGCCACCCGCCCATGCTACATAGATAGATAGGAGGCACGGGGGGGGGGAGAACCACTGAGGGGGAAGTACCACTAAAGAGAGGGGGGGCAGGGAGAGGAACACTAATGGGGGGGAGAGGTAGGACCACCAAGGGGGGAGGTAGGCAGGACCACAAAGGGGGAGGGGAGAGGGAGGACCACTAAGAGGGAGGGAGAGAGGGAGGACCACTAAAGGGTGGGGATATATATACTTACACATGCACACACAGACACACTTCTACTGATAATGTGGCATGACTTACCTCTGCCAAGCTGCCCAGATCCCCTCCTGCCGCGCGGTGCAATAGCTCCGCGACTGCCCAACACTGAGGCAGACTCAACTCCCTCGATCCTAGCCGACCTCCACCTGCCACACAGTGTGACTGAACTAAGCTGCCGCGCTGTAGGATGTCTATATATAGATATGGATGTGATGTCACACCCACTCTTAAAGTGACCACATCATCATTGTGATCCTAATATGTTTTTGATTGCAGTGATGATGTGGACCTATCAGAATCAGGTAAGCCTATTTAAGGCTTGTTTTAGCCCTCATTCATTGCCCTGTCGTGGTTTCTGTTAGAACCATATTTAGTGCTCCTAGTGATTCTCTTGTGATTTCCTGTGTTTTCTGGTATTCTGACCTCGGCATTGTATTTGACTCTGAGCATTCCTGTCCTTGATTTATTTTTGACCCTGATTCTTGTTATTTAGTTACGTTAAGTCTGGCCATTCTAAGGCTCGGTAATACATCTTTCAGATCCACCTTTTGTGGTTTCCCCTTTCCTGCGTGTTGGGTTACGACTCCCGTGACACATACATGCACACACTGACACACAAATACAGATACTGACACATGCACACACAGGTACACACACAGACACACATATACTGACATGAAAATACTGACACACAGATGCACACACATATTGAAACACACACACACACACAAATGAATATACTGCCACACAGATACACAAACACACACATATAATGGCACACAGATAAACATACACATACTGACACATGCACACACAGATACATGCACACACACACATACTGACCCATACATACACTGACACACAGATACACACTGACATGCACACCTTGAC